TGGGGCCCACTAACCTTGCACTTGTCTTTTTCTTAATATCAATATGCATTTTGGGTTCAGTCAACAATCACGATACTCTCAAATTACAGAAATATCTAAATACTCGCAATCTATTTTTTAATTTTTATGTTGACAAAAAAAATCTATATTTTCCCTCATGTTATCTATGATTTTTTTTTTGACGTCTAATGTTATTTATGAATGATTAAATATTATACATCATAAGAAGTCTGCCCATATTAGTTATGCAATTAAAATAACTAGAATTTTATCTGCAAATTTTTTTTTCACTTATTATGCACTTTTGGTCAAACTCATGGTTTGGAGAACTCACTAGAAGGCTTCTACAAAAAAATTTATAAACATAATTAATTGCAAAACTTCTTTAGAAGCTTTTTTATGAAAAAGATATATATTTTTTGAAAATTTCCTTTCAATTGCAAAATTAAGATGATTATCATAGTTTATTAAACGACAACAATGCTCTAAGAAATAAATACATTACAAGGTCTAAGCCCATATTTTGAAAGCCCTAAAACGATTAAGTGTTAAGGAAACGAACAGAGCCATCTTAATAATGGAAACCTGAAATTGGGTTAATAAACCTTCAATGAGTAAGAAGGGAAAGGTGTAAAACTGAACCGAGAGAAGGTTAAAACCCTACCTTCAAACTTCAAAGAACGGCTAGGTTGCAGTACGTAGCAGTTATTGATACATGTAACAAGTCGTAGAACCTTATAATATCAAAGCTGGATTAGTTCAGACGATAAAATTGGTTGATTATTTCGGATATATACGTTATTGGGAGTTCTTAGGAATTAAGAAATCTCCTACGATATATTTCTTTGTAATTATTAGAGAGTTATCATTTCTGTATAAGTTAGATTTCTATTATATTATTTAAAGAAAGTGTCAGAGAAGTTATGTATGTTATATAAATAAATCTTACAAATATAGTGAATAAATTGATAAAAACAAATAAACTTCTGATTTCTTTCTTAATTTTGATGGATTATGGATTTCTATTGTTTTGATCTGTCTTTCTTTGATCTTGTTCTTTCTAACTCTTGTTGGATGAAAGTTTCTTAATATCATTTACATATTAGTTTTTGGTTTTGATAACTTAAAAAAAGCTGAACATTGAAGAAAGGGTTACGTGCTTTTAAGTTTCATCTCATGATGAAGTTTACGTAATGTTTTATTTGACTAATTTTATATTATATAAATATCTTTTTTAGAAAATAGTGAACTTTTAAAAAATTTCAATGGTTTTTGTTTAAGAAAAAAATGAGACGATTTCGTTTTCTACAAACTGTATTTCTTGTTTGTTAATTTCTTATTATGTTTCTGTGAAACCAGGTTATTATACTAGAGACTTGGACGCGATTGGTTGTGATGATGAAAAATGGATATGAGATAATCAACTACATATCCCATGTAGCCACGAAGATAACCTACATATTGTTTGTTACATGATTGGTTCTGCCCATTTTTTCTCAAATATTTGTTTGTTACATGAATTTACACAGGGTTTGATGATTGGGAGGGATAATATCTTTCACAGTCTATACATTCTTGAGAAGCCATCCCTCCCAACATCATCACCTACTATAGTTTTTTGTGGATCTCTATTGTCTGATGAGAATTTGTGGCATGTTTCACTATTTTTCTTGTGCTTACACCTCAACAAAATTCTTTTGCCGAGAGAAAACATCAAGATTTTCTTAATGTGGCACATGCTTTAATTTTTCAATCAAATGTGCCTTTGCAATATTGGAGTGACTGTGTGCTAACTGCTGTCTTTTTGATCAATCGATTGCCGTCTCCGTTACCTGGTTTTAAGTCTCCTTTTGAACTTTTACTTGGTAAGACACCAGACTATACAATTAATGCTTAAAACTTTTGAATCTTTGTGTTATGTTTCCACTTTGTTGAAAGACAGGAATAAGTTTTCTCCTATGGCAAAACCTTGTGTTTTCTTAGGCTATCTTTTAGGTTACAAAGGTTTTAATGTTTTGGATTTGGAATCTAGATCAACTTCGATTTCTCGGAATGTCATTTTTCATGAACAAGACTTTCCGTTTAAAACTGATGAGTTTGTTTTTACGACTGCTGATATGTTTCCAAATACCATTTTACCTTTATCTGTTCCAATGCAATTTGTTGAAACTTATCCATTGTCTATGCCTTTGCATTCTGGTTGCACGCATCTATTACTTGTTTCTGAGACAACTAATAACCATGAGCCTTTGATTCCTAATCATGCATTAGATAATACTCATTCATCTACTTCTCATGACATACATGCATCTTCTACTGGTGTTCACTCTATTCCTATTGATAGACCTAGACGACAACTTAAGCCTTCTAGCTATTTGTTTGAGTATCATTGTGCTTTGTTACCATTTTCTTCTTTTTCACCTACGTCTATTCCTTCTGAACAAAAAAAAACATATTCTTTATCATCTATTTTTGACTTATGATAACCTAAAACCCATTTTTCAGTTCTTTGTTCTTGCCTGTACTCTTGAAACCGATCCTAAAACTTTTAAACAAGCTATGGCATCTGAGATGTGGCGCGGTTCTGTGAATGCAGAATTTGAGGCTCTTGAGCAAAACAGAACTTGGGATATTGAATGTCTTCCTTCTGGAAAGAATGTGGTTGGTTGCAAGTGGGTACACACCATTAAGTATGATGCAAATACTACGATAGAAAGACCCAAATCTCGATTGGTGGCTCAGGGTTATATGCAACATGACGGTCTTGATTACATCGACACTTTCTCTCATGTGGCTAAACTTACTACTGTGAAGATATTGTTGGCATTGGCTGCTTCTAAAGGTTGGTCTTTGAACCAAATGGATGTTTCAAATGCTTTTTTTTTTTTGCATGAAGAAGAGATTTATATGAGCTTACCTCAGGGTTATACACATCCTCCTAGTACTACATTGCCTCATAATGCTGTGTGTAGACTTCGTAAGTCTCTATATGGGTTGAAACATGCATCTCCTCAATGGTACAAGAGGTTTTCTTTGGTGTTACTTGGTGCTAACTATGTCCAATTTTCTGCAGACAACACTCTCTTTGTCAAAGCTACTACGGTTTCTTTTGTGGCTGTTCTAGTCTATGTGGATGACATATTGATAGCTAGCAAGAACAATGATGCTTTGATGGCATTACAGGATCTTCTCAAGTCAGAGTTTAAGATCAAAGATCTTGGTGCTGCTTGTTTCTTTCTTGGATTGGAGATTGCTAGGTCTTCAACAAGAATATATGTTTGCCAACGCAAGTATACGTTAAATCTCCTTGAAGATTCTGGTTTACTGGGTTGCAAGCCTAGTTCTGTCCCTATGGATCATACGTTGTATTTGTCAAAAGATCACAGAACACCATTGCCGAATGCTACTTCTTATCGGGAGCTTATAGGACACTTGTTAAATCTGATTATAACAAGGTCTGATATTACTTTTGCAGTTCATCAGATGAGCCAGTTTATATCTTATCCTACTGATATACAGTAAAACCTCTATAAATTAATAATGTTGGGACTTTGAATTTTTATTAATTTATAGAGATATTAATTTACAAAAATTTCCTTATTTAGATTTTTTTTAAAAAAATTCCATTTTTATTTATAAAATAAAAAATATTTGATTTTAGCATATGTACATTATTTAAATTTTAGAAATTTGACTTTTAAATTGTTTTATTATCTTATGTGGTGTATATTTTTATGTTTCATAGAATTGTTACATGGTTTTCGATATAATTTAAATAAATATTATCAAAATATATTGAAATGTTTAAAAATAAAAGTATTTTATAGTAAATATAAAACCCCTAACTAATTATTATCAAAATATATTTAAATGTTTTAAAAAATAAAATTATTTTTATAGTAAATATAAAACCAACAGAATAATATTAGATTGTACTTATATATAAAATTATATATAGCTAGATTATTAATTTATGATTTTAGTGGGACCATATATTTACATGGCAGTTTTAAAAATATTATTATTTTATTATTTTATCGATTTGTGTAATATTTTACACCGGCCCAAGTTGGGACCGGTGAAATTTATTAATTTATAGAGATTATTAATTTATCGAGTATTAATTTATAGAGGTTCTACTGTATATCTGCAGGCGGCTCATAAAGTTCTTCGTTACTTGAAGATTAATCCTGCTCTCGGTCTATTCTATCCTGCTAATGTTGACATGTGCCTTAATGTTTTTGCCGATGCAGATTGGAAGTCTAAAAAGCAATCAGTTGTAAGCAGAAGCAGTACTGAAGCTGAGTGCCAAAGTTTGGCCTTGGCAACTTGTGAGTTGATTTGGTTGCAGCAGTTGCTTACGGATTTTCATGTTCATGTCACCAGCACTACTAAGCTTTTCTGCAACAACAAATCGGCTATTTATATTGCCATGAATCCAGAGTTTCATGAGAGAACTAAACATATTGACATAGATTGTCATACGGTTCGTGATCAACTCAAGGCTGGACGGTTACAAACTCTACATGTTTCCACGGTGAACCAGCTTACTGATATTCTCACCAAAGCACTCCATCTCGGTCCTTTTCATTCACTCTTACATAAATTCTCATTGTCAAGTCTTTATCTTCTACCAGATAAAGAAACTAAAGACTTGAGAAGGGCGTCTTAGGATAAATGGTTTAATTTACTGGTTTATATTGGTTAATTACATTTGAGTAACTGAGATAAACCGGTTATGTATACCAGATATGTATACCGGTTATGTATATAAGCACACTTGCTTATTTTGAACAGTTATGATTATTGTGAATAACAAACTTTTTTCCGTTATTCATCTTCTCTCAATCTCAATATCATCATCTTGATACAAGCTTGAATCAGTGTTAATACATGTTTTGGTGTGTACAATTAATATTTTGTACTATAAAACGTATACTGTATCTTTAAATATTTTTCTATAAAAGGGTGCACACAAAAACCCTCATTCTAGAAAAAAAATGGTGTCTCTCAGACACAACATATCCTTTCTCATTCTCTTATTCATTGCCGTCCTTGCCCTCTCCTTCGCTTGCAACTGTAGCCCTCCTAGACCATCACCGGATCCTCACAACCCGCAGAAACATCCCGTTAAACTGCCTCAGCCACCCATGAAATGGCCAACCATTAAACCATCGACCCACAAGCCTCCACCTGTGGTAACGTCGCCAACACCGTGCCCACCACCAACACCAACTTCACCTGTCGTTACGCCGCCAACACCAGACCCACATGTTGTAACACCGCCAATACCAATACCACCAGAACCAGAGACATGCCCAATCGACACGCTGAAACTAGGAGCTTGTGTGGACATGCTTGGAGGTTGTATTCACATGGGGGTTGGAAAAATCCAGGCTAAGGAAACGTGTTGCCCTGTCTTGGGAGGTTTATTTAGCATGGACGCAGCCATATGCCTATGTATCACCATTGAAGCCAAATTTTTGAACATTGACCTCATCATTCCCATTGCTATTGAGATTCTTCTCGACTGTGGAAGGCCTCCACCACCTGGCTTCAAATGTCCCATTTGATTCATGAAACGAAGGTTTCGTTTTTTCAAAAAATATGTTGGTTTGATGATCTTTTTGGGTAATTGGGGGTTAATTTGCTTGTGTGAAACCTTTACTCACTTGTTTTATATGTGTACGCTGTATGTTTAGTACATATGTACGTAGTAGGTTGTGGAGTAAAGAATTGTGTTTTTTGTAGTCATGCACATTGCACTGATGGACATGTTATATGCGCCGTATAGCGTAACTGCTGACCAAGTACGTACGTATATTTATCCAAACAAATATATCATACTTTGTTCTCGAATACAAATGATAAAGTGTATCTCTAAACCACTGCACAAAGAAATGTAAATTTCATAGTCATTCACATTGCACTCATGGGTATAAATTTCGTTGTATGTACACCTATATCTATGCTACAAAATAAATTTATATTTTTTTCCGACAAATACAATATATAATTATCATACATAATTTACAACATACATATAAACATACTCAAAAATCATTGACACAAATAAAGAAAATTGAAACAAGTTTGATGAATGAGTGAAAAGTAACCACAATTTATTTTCATATGCTTAACATATGAAAAATTAGAAAAAGATGAAGTAGTCTTGTTGCCATGTGTATGAACAATGCATATATCTAATGAATCTTTTATATACTAAAGCGCAAGTCGCCTAACGAATCAGAATTTGACATGTGGAATTTTTTTTAAAAATTTAAAGAGAAATGAAAATACAAAAAGAAAAAAAATTAAAATCAGAAAATAAGTTGACAAAAAAGCAGAAAAAATAAAAATGGCTACTAGATAATTTAGCACAAAATCCATAATATTGTCCCACTACTTCAGTATCACACACACGATTTCATAACTGTTACTTTTCCTGGTGAAAGTTTGACTCATGATATATAACGTTATCTCTGCATGCAATTTTTTGAAAAAGTTAATATCTACATACGTTTGATATAATTTTTTATAGTTTTTTTAAATTGTGCTATTGATCTTTTCTGTAAAAGAGTGATCAAATTTCAATTTCTAACAATATATATCGATGGCTTCTGATGTTTTCTTTGAGAGGTTTGTTTCCAAAGATTAAGAAAAGATATCATAACATTTTTATGGCGAAGCTTACTGAAAGGTTGGCGGATGAAGCTTAAAATCCAGGTTAATAAAACTAAATACTTGCAAACTTTTCAATACTTAAATCACAATTTGCATAATGTTAACTTTTTTCATAGATCTTTCTCTCTAACGTACTTACAATAACTATCTTTTTAATAATATACATTTCATCAATATTATTTTAAAAATAGACTAAATTAATTTTCAGTTTGCTAGGAAATATTTATTGGATGTGGTGATGATAAGTTGAAGAGTGAAAGTAAGAAGCTTAAAGAAAATTTACAAGGCTCCTAATAAACTTGAGAAGCACTATAAAAAAACAAAAAAAGGCAGCTATAACTAGAAAGCAGAAAATGGAGATCAAGAGACGGTGGTAGAAACAAAGACTCATGTTTACGCTCTAGATCAATCCAAAGATGAGGTTGTTTTTTTCTTTTAATTATTCTATAATCTTATAGAGATATTATTTTTTGTTTAGTTTCAGATCAATATACACTTTTCTATTTTCTTATATAATATTACTAAATTTTAAAACAAATCACGAACAAAAACTTTGAAATAAATAAAACATCGAAAATGAAAAATGAAAGAAAGTAATTAAAAGAATATACATGAGAAGAACAAAAACATTACAAAAAATATCGACTTCAACTACTTACAAAAGTAATGTTGTTATTTTATTTGTAGTTGTACAAGAAGATGTTTTCCCGAGTTTTTATATCTAATAATTTTTTTATTGTTTTTGAAAAAGGAAAATCATCTCCTATTTTATATTTATTTTAGTTTCATATTGAACATGCCCGTGCAGAGTACGGGGGACAACACTAGTGTCTAATATAACTCTAAAAGTAGTTAAATATTTGAAACTTGAGTTATATGACTATATCGATCGTGTTTGTTTGGATGTCGCAAGATTAAATTTTGTTCGTTTGTTTATAGTAGGATCCTGATAGTAGTGGCAGATCGCAGTAGAAACTGTACTTTTAAATCGTTAAAACTTTCAGTGATATAAAATAACGATTTGTGATCAATGATTGTGATCAATAGCAAAGTAAAACGAACAAGAAGCTGTGGTTTGCAGCCAGCTGTATGTCAGATTGACCCATTATGGGTTTGATCTTAGAATATGGGCTTCGTACTATACAAAGTTAAGGCCCAATTGAAAAAATAAAATCTTTTTTTTTCTTAGTCTGTCTTGTCCAACAAACAAAGTTCACATCTCTAAGGACATTCCCTTTTCGTCGAGCAAGCAAGAATCAAAGCAGAAGCGATCAGAGATTGATAATCTAATTCCTTCCTCTCAGGTGAAATCTCTACTCTTTTCTCTTTATGTTTTCTGGGTTTCGGTTTCATCTTTAAAGTATCTCGTTCTGAGTCGCTGGATCTGTGTTTTACTTTGCTGAGGATTAGATAAACCCTAAGATAGATGAGATTCTGAGTGTGATGTAGTTACTAGCTTAGCTTCTTCGATCTCTCTCTTAGACTCAATTGTGCTTTCGATTCTGAATGTTTGTTTCGATCTTAAAGTAATTAAACCCTAATTGTTCCGTTTTCATTGTATAAACGATTAGCCCATGAGAGTCTCTATCACTGTGATATTGAATCTTAAAAACCCTAATTGTAAGAAATAATAATGAATTTAGCTCAAAGTTTCAATTTTTATTGTTTCTTTTGAGACCAAAGCTTTAATCTTTAATCTATTAGTCTAAAGACCAAACCTTTTTTGTTCCTTTTAGGTTTTGTTAAAACATGTCTCGGAGATATGATAGCCGAACCACAATCTTCTCCCCAGAAGGCCGTCTCTACCAAGTCGAATACGCCATGGAGGCCATCGGCAACGCAGGTTCCGCCATCGGCATCCTATCCAAAGACGGCGTCGTCTTGATCGGCGAGAAGAAAGTCACCTCCAAGCTTCTCCAGACCTCCACCTCCTCCGAGAAAATGTACAAGATCGACGACCACGTGGCCTGCGCCGTCGCAGGCATCATGTCTGATGCCAACATACTCATCAACACTGCTAGAGTCCAAGCTCAGCGCTACACCTTCATGTACCAGGAGCCCATGCCTGTTGAGCAGCTTGTTCAGTCTCTCTGTGATACTAAACAAGGGTACACTCAGTTCGGTGGTCTTCGTCCTTTTGGAGTTTCTTTTCTCTTTGCAGGGTGGGACAAGAACCATGGGTTTCAGCTTTATATGAGTGACCCTAGTGGGAACTATGGTGGTTGGAAAGCTGCTGCTGTGGGAGCTAACAACCAGGCGGCTCAGTCTATTTTGAAGCAGGACTATAAGGATGATGCGACGAGAGAAGAGGCGGTGGAGCTTGCGTTGAAGGTTCTGAGCAAGACGATGGATAGTACTAGCTTGACATCTGAGAAGCTTGAGCTTGCTGAGGTGTTTCTGACTCCTTCAGGGAGTGTTAAGTACCATGTTCACTCTCCTGACTCGCTCACCAAGCTGTTGGTGAAGCATGGTGTGACTCAACCCGCTGCTGAATCAACCTGAGCACAGAACTAATTGCCAGAGTCTTGATCCTCTGCTTGGTGCTGTGTCTCCTTTATCTATCTTGTTAGTTCTATGCTTCTTCACAGCTTTCATTTTTAGTTTGATGTTTATTAGACTATGGCGATGAAACTGGAATTTCACAATGTTATGCGAATTTTATTTGAAGGTGTTTTGAGTTAAATTCTATTACTATGTACAAGTATCACTGTAACACTGATCAAGAACAGAGCGTAGGAAGTGATCTGTTGCTTCCTCTGCTTGTACTCTTTGATCTTTTCTTGATAACTTCCATCTGAGTCTGCATTTTCAAACATGCTCTCTCCAATTCCATTACCCTCCACTGAATCCCTTCTATATGCTCTTTCAACTTCTCATTATCTCCTGAAGTATCAACCTTCTCTACTTGGAGTATGAGCTGCTTGTGTTGTTGTTGCACATCTTGTGTCTGAATCGCTTGAAACTTTGCGTTACGTAGAATGTGTGCTCTTGATTCAGTTGAAAGCTTGTCGTAGCTTAAAGTTCTTATCAAGTTGAGTTGTTCACCGTTGGTTAATCCAGCGTGAGCCTGAACGAGTCAAAGAAAATGATCATAACTTCCTTTCAACATTTTTGAATTTGAGATGATTCTTGAAACGTACCTCGAGATACATATCAATAGCACGATAGATATCTTCATGAGACTCTCTTGCTGAATCTGGAATGAGCATGAGGAGAGACAGAAACTTTGAAGGTTTCAAGAATGGATCAGGTGCTACTTCAGCTATGTACTGATCAACCAATCTCGCCACTTTCTTCAGTTGTGATCCTTTTTTGGCTTCGTCGAGGAAAGCTTTTGCGAATCTAAGAACAAGATTCACGTAGTACAAGTGACTAGACTTCAATGGAGATGGAACAAGAAGATTGTCAAGTGTTGCTTGGTCTAGTTGTTGACCAATCATAAGCTCAAGTTTGTTCATAACACCTTTGTTTATGTTCAATCCAAAAGCAAGCCTCAGAACACCAAAGAGGCTCTTGTAAGGAACACAGCTTCTATCTAACACGTAAAGAGTGTCAATGGTGGTTTCAAGAATCTCTCTTTTCTCATTACAAGACGCTGAACAGAACTTAACCTTCTGGTAATAGAACAAGAACTTGGTTATGGTAAGATTGTCGAATCTCCCGGTTATCATCAGCTTCAAGAACGTTTTAACCAAGCCTGGACTTAGAACAAGAACCTCATCGAACCACCATGGTATCCGAGAAGAGCTATTCTTGAAACTCTCTGTGCTCTTACTATCACAAGAAAACCGAAACGAGCTGCTATCTGGTGAAGGTGAACAAGCAGAAGCAGCACTAGAGGGGCTCGCTTCAGTGACTAAACACAGTTTCTCCACGAGCGCATCCATCAGTTTTGCAGCTAAAGAATCAGTGTCAGAGGATGTTTCAAGTTCTTGACACTGTTTTAGACCAAGAAGAACCTCTGACCAAGTCCAATACCGAATCTCTTCAATACACTTCTCTGTTTGTTCCAAGACTGTAGTGACTTCCATAAACTTAGCGGCACAATGGAACAAGACTAGATTCGAAGGTACCACAGTGAAGTGACCGTTGCTGTAGCAGAATCTGGTTACAAGCTCAAAACTTTCAGCTCCACCAGGGAAATCCTTAAAGATCACTTTGATATTATTACCATTGGAAGAACAAGTAGTTTTTCCAAGAAGTTTCCTCAATGTTTCAGAAAACTTGCATATGACTTTCTGAAAGCAAAACATAAGAAAATATAAGTCATATGATTGGAGAGCTAAGTAAAGTGAATATTTCAAGACCCACAAGTAAACAAACTTTAAAGTCATTTTACTGTTTGTGATTGATCATTTATTACAAGAGAGGAGAGAATGAGATTAATATATGTGTCTCTTCAGCCATGTGAATCTCAAAAGTCAACAAAGTGAGAACAAAAGGGAAGTGAATAGTGTCAAAGCAAATTGCATAAGATAGCAACTTCTTAACCTCTTCCTCTTAATGAGGAAAACAGTGTCTATAGAAGATTGAGAGAAAGTCAGAGGAAAGGTAAGAACAAAAAAATATGCAATAAATGGTGATGGAGACATCTGCTTCATTACTATATACAACAAGATTAACGAGTCTCGGACACAATCAGTTAGTTGCTGATTGGTTTAACTGAACGTAGACACTCATTTTAAGGTAATACTGGTAGAACACTAAATGCTGAAGGTAGCAGAGTCACATACACAATACGTTTTGACGCAAAAATCAAAGAAACTACACATGAACTTACGTTTTGCGAGATTTAACATTCAACTCAAATTTAAATAAAGTTAACTATATGGAAGTTGGATAAACCCAGCAAAGAAAAAAAAGTAAAATTTAAATATTGATAAATGATTGAAGTATTGGTTTTTGAGCCTAATTTAGTTGTGGAGAGGTTATTGCTCCAAAAAAAAAAAAGGTGTGTAGAGGTTGAATAGAAAGAGTAAGAGTAAGAGTTACTACCTTGTTGAGAAAGATAGTTTTCTTTCCGTTGATGTCTACTTCAAGATCAGAGCAAGCTTCCATAGCCATAAAACAGAGAAAGAAACGAAACAACACCCAAAAACAAACCTATAGAGAGAACCCACCTCGATAACAAAATTCTTAAAAGAGAAAAGAAATTTTGGTAAAAGAAGGGAGAAGAAGAGGATTTATTATGCTGAGAAGAGAAAGAAGACAAAGAGGAAAAGAGCAAGAAACTTTTGCTGGTTTTCTGATTAGTCAGAGTAAGACTAAAACTCTCTCTCTTTCTCCCTCTCTTTTGGTGTCTGTTTAGTCAATTGGTGAAGCACTCACAAACTAGTGGTGGGTTTTTATATGTTCTTGACAAAAACAAAAGGATGGACGAGTAAAAAAGAGACCAAGTAACAAAAGCTTAGTCTACTAACGAAGAGACTTGTCTCTATAGTCAGTTTTACCTTATCCAATTCCTTAATATAAGTATAATCTTTCATGTAATATAATTGATGGACATCGACCTCAAAATATTAAAGTGTGACTGTGTGAGGTGTTCTCAACTACTCATGCACCGAAGCCCTCTCTAGCGTGGTGGAGAAAAAAAAAGCCATCATTTGGTATATAATTATTATTTTGATGATTAGGAGGTTTTGGACGATCTATACATGTAAACCATGTAATTTAGGTCTGTGTTTAATATTAAAAATGAGATGTCAACTAATCATTGGTATATATAAATATTTAGTGTGTTTTTATTGCCAAAATTAAGGGGTCATGTTATTTCATCTCCTACATTTTGCTTGAAATTGTTATGGATGATTCCTGATTTTGTTCCTTCATGTTTTAAGTGCTTTAAGTTTATTACTGAAACGTAGGGATGATCGTTGCTAAAGCCAATTGCAATTTTTTACAACATACACAAACTTGTATGTGAATCGGAAATATCATATATAATATATCAACTAGGTGTTTTGTCCACAAATGCGGGCACAATTCTCTTATAAATATTGATTAGCGGATAATTCATTAATTTTAAAATTAGCATAATAAATTATTATTTATGTTTTCAAAAAGTACAAATGAAACATCAAATAATTATCAATGACAAAACTCAAACATCGGAAATATTCAAAATAGTATATTTCTATAATATTTTGCTTGATTTATATTATATTATAATATTTATACAAATATTTTTACTTAATTTATATTGGATTATAATTTTTTATCTCTTAATTTAAAAATTTATAATAGAAAAACATATTTTCAAGATAACAATATAATGCATAAGTTATTTATTTTCTAAAAATATAATATGATAAATTTTAGGGGTGGGAGTTTGGATACCCATTTGAGTTCGGATCTATTCAGTTTTCGGGTTTTCGGGTTTTCGGGTTCACAAATTTTAGCCTCATTCGGATATTTCTAAATTTTGGTTCGGGTTTGGTTCGGATCCTTGCGGGTTCGATTCGGGTTCGGATAACCCATTTAAATTCTTCTTTAAAATTTTAAAATAGATTCTATAATTTAAATTTCTAAAAATCTATACACAAAATAATATATTACAAATAATTGAATAACATAAGTCAAAATACCAAAAATTAACATATAAATTAGTTTAATTTGAGTATTTGGATTGTGAATCAATCTTTTTTTAAGTATTTTTGATGTTTTGAGTGTATTTTAGCAATTTTAGACATGTATGTTTGACTTTTTACATATATTTACAAATATTTTGAACAATTTCAAAGTATTATATATATATATATATATTGAATATTTTTTATATACATTAAATCTAAAATAATTAATATATATAGGTATATAAATCTCTTTCGTATATATTCGGGTACCCGAAATACTTTGATTCGGGTCGGGTTCGGTTTCGGTTCTGTAAATACCAAAATTTTGAACCCATTCATATATTGAATCAATTTCGGTTTTTCGATACTACATTTTTGGATCGGGTTCGGTTTGGTTCTTCGGATCCGGGTTTTTTGCCCAGCCCTAATAAATTTATTTTTATTATATAATAATTATATAAAATTATATAAATTATGACATATATTAAAATTATCTAATATCATGGAGAACTTAATGAATCAGTAAATTCATTTCTTAAACAATTTTTCTTAAGTGATGATTTATATTTAATTAATAATAGATAATTGTTATATTTATTTATAAGTAATATATAATATAAAAATATATTTTCAAGATAACTACACAATATATAAGAATTACCTTATTTTATAAAAGTATACTATTATTAGTGTAAATTTATTTCAATTATAGAATAACTACAATTTTTTATATCTTAATTTAAAATTTCTAAAAGAAAAATATATTTTCAAGAGAACAAATTAATACATAAGAATTATATTATTTTCTAAAATCTGATACTACTAATATAAATTTGTTTTAAATATATAATAAATTATATATAAAATTATAGAAATTATGATAAATTATTAAAATTACTTAAAATCATGAAAATATGAAAAATCAACAAAAAATCAAATTAACTTCTTAAATTATAGTATAGTTTCTTACATGTTAATTTTAAATTTTATAATTGAAAATATATTTTCAAGATAACAACATAATACGTAAGAATTAAATTATTTTCTAAAATATCATATTTTAATATAAATTGGTTTTAATTATATAATCAATAATAATCAAAATTAGAGAAATTATGATAAATTATAAAAGTTACCTAGGAACATAGAGACAAATCAACAAATTCACTTTTCAAATAATTGTTTTGATGATTTATATTTAATTATTAATATTATAACTTCTATATCTTAATTTAAAGTTTTATAATACGAAAATATATTTTCAACATAACTACATAATACATAAGAATTATCTTATTTTAGAAAAATATAAAATTATTAATATAAATTCTTTTTAGTTATATAATAAATATAATAATTTTTATATGTTAATTTAAAATTTAAGTTTTATATATAAAATATATTTCAAGATAACAATATAATTCACAAGAATTATCTTATTTTCTAAAATAAGATATATTCATATAATTTTGTTTTATTTATAAATAAATTATATATAAATATTAAAAATATGATAAATAAACAAATTTACCTAAACTTATGGAGAACATGACAACTAAGCAAATTTACTTCTTAAATAATAGTATAGATATATAAATATTAAAAATATGATAAATAAACAAAATTACCTAAACTTATGGAGAACATGACAACTAAGCAAATTTACTTCTTAATAATAGTATAGATAACAGTAGTTAAAAGAGATATACCCTAGGATACCACTAAAATATGTTTATGTTTCAAAAATATCACATTACGAGAAACAACACAAATACCATTCATTAAAAAGTAGAAATACAGATACTCTAGAGTTAAATGGTTGAGAATTAGAGTTTATATTTTGGGGGTAAAGTTTTAGGATTAGGAACTAGTGTTCATAGTCTAGGATTTAAGATAGAAAATTTATATTTATTTGATTTGTTTAACATTTATTTATGCTAAGTGTCATTCATAAAAGTTTTCCAAAATAGTATTTATTAAAAATAAAAACATGTTTTCTTATAATATAATGTTTAGAGTTCTGTGACTAGGGTTTATGGTCTAATATTTAAAAGAGTAAATGAGATTAGGATATAGGAGTTAGATAAATTTAGTTATCTTGTAAAATAAATATTATTTTGTAGTTTTCTTTTTGTGCAATTTTCATGAAATTTTTTAAAGATGATATTTTAGAGGTTTTACCTTAAAACTATTACTTTTTTTTGTAAACACACTTACTTGGTTTAAGAAGGTTATATACTTTTTTTTTGGTGAAAAGAAGGTTAGATACTTCTTTACACTTTTTTGTTCAGGTTTTTGCATTTTTCCTTTGTTGAACATGGCAAATGTGAAGGTCAATACAGAGGTTTTGAAAGATTCTCATCGTCGAGTTCAGAAGATGATGTGATATATTTCCAACTTTTTTTACAAAGTAAATCAAATCATGCATTTTAGTGAGGTCTCATCGTTTTTTACTGAAATCGCTTTGACCTTTTTGTGACTGCATCACCTCCCTCGCACACTGTTTTCATTTAACATTTATGATTTCACATAATTATTTTATTGGGTTATCTATGAAGTTCTATAAGGCCCATACACTTCTTGGGCATGTACTCCAATATGTTAAATTTGATTAATTTAGCCTCTTACTCTTTTTCTCTATAGGCAAGTACAACTAACAACCTTCAAGCTCTCTAGAGTTCAATTTCGATCAGTGTTTGAAAAAAATAAGGTAGCTGGGTACAGCTGTACAAGAATCATATTTCATGTGGTGATGAAGATGGCTTCGATGCAGTCCTCAATAAACTGTTTGACCAGATAGAAATTTGTTACAGTAGTTAAACTGAAACAATCAATCAATAAGGTAACTTTCTTTAAGCAGGTTCTCTTTTCTTGAATTATTTAGTTTTCGAACAATTTATTTGTTCTCACTATCACACGAGTAAAAAAATCAAAATTAGTTTACGCAAAAACAAAAGTTGGCACTTGGCACAGTCACGTGGAAAGTAGCACGCCCTCAAACAACTTTTACAATGACCAAAAACCGTAAATAAAAAATTATTTTACTAGCCAACAAAAAAAATCCTGTCTCCTGGATCGTTATCATCTGATCAAAGAAATGATCCAACGGTTCATAGTTAACGAAGTACAACCCCTGAAACCGCCTGGAGAGAGAGAGAGAGAGACAAACAGTCGACAATACAGATTCGTATAACAGAATCACCTTCGTTCCTCGTGCAGCCGTTTTTCCTCTCTCTTCTCCACCCAATCAAAAACACCCACGTGTCAAAACATTCTTTTCTTATGATCGTCATTTCTCTCCATCACCAATCACCATAAACCACGTGGCTTTCTATTTTTCTTCTTTTAATAATCCCCTTTTCCTTCCTCCTGCTTCATTGTCATATACTCTCTGTTTCTTCTTCTTCGTTTTCTCTCTGATGATAATGGAGTCAGGTCACGAGTTCGACTCGTTCTCCGAGTTACCTCCTCTCCCACAAGTGTACCATCATCCCACAAGCTACCCCTACTCTGACGTCGAGTCCTTACCTCCGTTTCCTTACTCCGACTTCGCCTTCTCCGACCAACTCGGTGCTGACTCGTCTCTCCCACTCCTCACTCACTCCTTACTCACCGAGTCAACTCGCTTCGACAACCTCTCCCCTCTTCCACTCCTCACTCGCGACTTCCTCACCGAGTCGACTCAGTTCGAGAACCTCTTCTCCCACGTGGCCACACCGTTTCACCACCTCCCAGATCTCCACTCCTTCGAACACACAACCACCGCCGCGGAGGAGGTCACAAATCCGCCTCCTCACACAAAACGACGTCGTCTCGAAACCCCCTTCACTATCTCCCCATGCTCATCTTCAAAATCCAAATCTCCGCCACGTCCCTCGTCGTCGTCACACGCTGGCATCAGCAGCGGGAGGAGGACGAGGAGAAGGAATGTTTCAGACATGATAAGGTCGTTGGAGAAACTGATGCCGTGGGAGAGGAAGATGAGTTTGGGTACTGTACTCGAGGAGACGTACAAGTACATCATGTTTCTACAGTCTCAGATCGCTTCGTTACGTTGGATGCCTCTCGAGTCCATCTACCCAGCTAGACCGGGAGTGGCTACTCTGCTCAAGTCTCTGACGAGGCAACAGATTCTTCAGGTGATTGCGAACTCTCCCGGTTCGAGAAACGTGCTTTGCACGCAAGGTGTTTGTGTTTTCTCGTATGAGCAGTTACTCTCTGTCAAGATGATGGCTGAATCCACAAGAAACCTCTGAATAAACAACAAAACATTTATGTTTTTTTCCTTTCATGCTCTGTTTTTTTGTTTGTCCTAAATGATCATAGAAGAAAGCTGCATAGCGTTTTAATGGCGGAGTATGATTCCATTGCTTTTTTGATCTTCAGGTTTGAACTTTGACTATGAATGATATGTTACTCTGTTTCCATTGTAATTCCAACACCAAATGAAAAATGATGCCATCAATAATCAAAAACATTCAACGACAATAACATAGAAAAAAAGTTAACACAGATATTTAAAACAAATAGAAATCAAATCACATGTAGTTTCCTTCAAATCATTTTCCGGATAACATTTTGGAGATGACAGAAGAGATGAGTTCAATTTTCTTTTTGCAAAACTCTATCTCCATGAGAAACAGAGCATTTCCTTCTTGATTCAACTTTTTCGCCTCATCATCTCCAAGAAGCTTGGCTCTCTCATAAGCATAGTCTTTAGGAACCACACCTTGAGCAACAATGGTGTCAATAACAATCTTCAGATAAGGATACCGAACCCAAAACTCATCTCCCTCACCATGATTGGTCTCAGTTTCTGTAATAGCATCAAAATAAAAACACACAATTATCAACTTTCAGGACATGCACTGGTCGGTTATAAGAGTAGCAAACCGATGAAAACTTTAGATTATTAAGGATATATAAGTGATGTGTACCTCCTCCTGCACTGGTGATTTCAGACGATTCGTCTTCCGACGTTAAAGAGAGTTCGGAGTCGCTGAAGTCTTCATCGGATGATGGTTCAGAGTTGTTGAGAAGATTAATCGGAACCGCCATTGTCTTGGAGATTTGAAGGTTGAGGAGATTGCAGTTTCTAGGGAGAGTTTTGGGGGAGAAACGAAGAGTCGAGTGTGAAGGAAGAGAGTAACATAGTGAAGTATATGAAGGAGTGGGATAGAGAGAGAGAGATCATAAATTTTACTAAAATTGTTTTTTTTTAAAAAATTTGTCCACCTGTGGTTGATCCAACCGGTTCGGATTCTGAACCGAAATAATAAAGACCCAATAACCAAACTAAACGAAACCTTGAACCAAGCTCGACACAAGACGTCTTTTTGATGCCTTTTTTGTTTGAAAATAAAACCAAAGAGAAACAGTTTTTTTTTTTTTTTTTTCCTGCAACACAAATTTCCAAAGAGAAACAATTAAGATGAAAACTATAACTAAATGATAATGAGAGCTAAATGGTGTACTGTAGATCTTCATGGAGAGTACTTGAGAGGTAGAAACAATTTCGAGTTAGATCTTCACTTTCAAAGGGCAATCTATGTCCAAGTAAGCCTTCTCAAGTTCACCTATAGACACAAACTCCTGCCTATGAATAAGGCTGACTAGATGCGGGTAATAAGATTTAGGTGGAAGCACTTGATTTTCAAACTAATAAACCCATCACTAATTATTTAACTAATTCTTAAATTCATATGGGAAATTAAAATTTTTAGAAGCCGATGAGTTTTCAGTTATGATTCTCGACTTCCTATGTAATATATTGTCAAACTCGTTTAAGATTAAACTAATTTGCTTAGTTACTTTTCTTGTAGTTAACTATTGTTACAAGAAGACGGAAACATCATGGGACTGGGAGCAATTTGTATATATATAGCTTAAACATTGGGAGGCTAACATGAAGTCTTGAACAAAGATGGATCTTTGAAACAAGGGGTCAAATTTGAGGTTGTTTCTACAACCAAACACATTTCCTCATGAATCATGATCACAAGCTCTAACTATTGAGAAAGCTAATGGAGTGTTCCATTTTATATGAGTACAATGGATCCAAAATGCAATGCATTGTTTATATGAGTACAATGAATCCAAAACTTGTTAAATAAAAACTTTCAATATTAAAACAACTACACAAACATAATCACAATAGTGATTAAAAGAGAGAAGAAAACATAGATTAGTTTAGTATAAAAATAGAACCGTACCGTGTTCATCAACCAAAATACACTTGGTAAAATGTGTCTACACCACTCTTCTTTTTTTGTTGGTATTTTGCTTATACAATAGTAATTTCATCTCTTCTTCCTTTTCTTCACCCGACATTTTCATAAGTCGGTTTTCTGGTGAGTTTGGATCAACCAGTGTCATGATCGTACTTAAAGAGGAGATGCGTTTATCCCGATAAGCCAATTTCTCATCAAGTCCCACCACACTATGAGGTGACGGTGTGAACAGAAAAAAATCTTGACATGGATCGCATTCTATGGGAAGCGAATCCATGACTACCCACTCGTTGGCACTCAAGTCGTACACCAGAACTGCTCGGTCATACGACCCGCTTCCCAACAGTAAACACTTTCCGTTGTAAGCTCCTACTTTGCAATTAACTCTATCTTTGACACTCGTTCCGTTCTTGATATGCTTCACGAGGACCCACTTGGGATTAGTAAGAATATTCTTGAGAGCATAAATGTAAGTGAATCCCTCCTTGTTTGATACCAAAGTAGTCAAGTTATTATCTTCGAGTGCAAAGAGTGTTTCTGAACCTAATCCAATATTGGGGAGTTGGGTCTGGATCAGCCGTGCTTTCTCGGTTTCGGGGTTGAAAGCTACGATGCTTCCGTCTTTTTTTAGCCAGTGGAGATACCCATCCAAGTAAACAGGATTCTTCATACGGCCATCGAGGTTTCTTGAGTTGCAAGTAAGTGTCGTTTTTGAACATGTCCATGAGTTTCTTCCAGATTTAATCTCGAAACCATACATAGTCTCATTGATTCCTTCCCTCTCGAATAAGTATACGACTTTGAAACTCTTGGTGTCTGGATCAATCTGATTAACCGCGAGCCCTAGTTGGTTTATACTTCTTTTGTTCGTAAAAAGTTGGTTTCTACTTAAGAAATCTTCGAAGACGAACATCAGACAAAGCAAAGAACCGAAACTGCTCTGTATAGGGGTTTACCACGCATAGACGATCATACATGAAAAGAAAAATGGTATGATCAACCAGTCAAATTCTTAATCTCAAAGGTAATTGTTACATTCTCTTTCTCGCATGTACATATAATTTCTTAACTATGCTTTCACATCAACATATCATTTAGATTAGAGTATTTAATTGAGTTTGCATGGTTTAGTCATATCTGATGTATTGCCTATCAGTTATGTCATTTAGTTTAAAAGGTATAGCATCATACTTGAAGTACTAAAGATCATCTATTCTCAAGCTAATGAGTAAATTAAGTTCAAAATTTAGTAATTATTTTTTTCAATTGTTTACTGATTTTTAAATGCAGATGGAGATAGTAAATAAAGTATTGGTAAGCTCTAAAATGACCAATTTATAATTTATACTTTTCTAATGCTCTTGCGAATGAGGTTCTTTTGAACTTTCGATTTTGTTCATTTTTAAATTAAATTGCAATCTGTTTAGCCTTCTCTTATTCATATATCTTCTAATTGTCTTTTTTTAAGTGTGATATTGGGAAGATAGACTCTACTGTGATTTGGTTCTTAAAGGAGTTAAGTCAATAGCTAAAGCTCATTGCAGATTCTAAACATTAAACTACCATACAACAGAGCGGTATGGTTTTATTTAATGTTACTTATTACTGCTCATAGTTTTGCAATAGAATGTGCTAACAGTGCAATCTGATTTCATAGATCTTGGTTGAGAATTATATAAGAAGATATCAATTTTGCTGCAAATGGACTTCCACCTGCAGGTTTCAAAACCTTTAATGGCATAACATAAGTCAGCAAGAATGAAAGCCTCTTTGATAGGTAACAATGTAAGCGCATCAACAAGATCTACTGCAGGTAACAATCATAAAACAGTTTTGTTCAAGAACTTCAAACTAATATTTGTGCTCTAAGAGCTAATTATAATCAATAGAAATTTTGATAAACAAATTAAACTATTTTTATATGCTTGTGGTTAGTAAATGATAAATAATGTGTTAACATTTTTTATGTATACTAATCTTTTTCTTATTAAACATGTAATTTTCAGTCGTCATGTATGTGTACCTGAAATTTGGTTTTAACAATTTTTTTACCGTGCGGACGCACGGGATCAATACTAGTTTTAGTGAACGCCTAAGACATGCGTTTACAATTTGTTACAGTTTCTGATGAAGAAACATCGTCGTTGTGTTCCTTCGCATCAATGTCTACAACTTTTCAAGTCTACTGGACAGAACGTCCTCCTAGTTCTTACTCCCTCAAAATCCAGAACATCGCACAACTCATCGGTGGAAAATCCCAATCCCGTCGTTTCTCAGTAGCTGGCTACGACTACAATTGGTACTTATTTACTATTCCAGTATTGGTAATTTATCTAAATCCTGAAACTTACATATGTTTGTTTTGATGATATAAGTCCTTTGATGATTTATATTGGTATCTAATGAGATGGCTGATCCTGTGGATTAATACTTTTAAAATATTTCTTTGAACTATAACGTTTAGATATATAGTATATATTTTGAATAACATTTTTTATATATAGGTGAAATATTTAGAGGAACAATAGTATTCAAATACACTTGTTTTAAGTTCCTAAGAATAAATAAAAGTGTGCTGGAGATAGATTTGTGTTATGGTTTTCAACGTGGACACCTCTTGCATAATCTTGTTTCTGAAATACCAGGAGATTAATTATATATCCAAAAGGGATTGAAAAGGACAATGGAAGTGGATATATTTCGATGTACGTTGAAATAGACAGTACAAGCGAGGTGTTTACCTATCTTATTGATGAGAAACATCCCACATCGGATATATAAGAATTAATCTACTACTATATAAAGGGTTGGAGCCAATCCACTAATCACCAATTAGTTTTAAGTTGGAAGTCCATAATAAACCTGAAGCTAACATGGTATCAGAGCGATAAGATCCTTTGACCTAATTTACTACAACTACTATTACTATACCGATGTTGGACCCTCTGTGGATGTTATTCCCACATTGTCCACGTCTCAGACCTAGAGATTTCTAAACGTGAGAGAGGGTATTGATGAGAAACATCCCACATCGGATATATAAGAATTAATCTACTACTATATAAAAGGGTTGGAGCCAATCCACTAATCACCAATTGGTTTTAAGTTGGAAGCCCATAATAAACCGAAAGTTAACATATCTCACCTTCTTTGTCTTTAACAAGAAACTAAACAAATACTTTTGTATTCACGGCATGTAAATTCAGTTGCCTACTGCTCTATCTAATTTTTCTACATATATATATATATATATATACACTACAAGAAAACGGTTGAGTACCGACCAACTGTTACGACCACGATATGGTGGTCGTAATTTTACGTCCCTGTTACGACCAGTCAACAACCAAAAAGATATTGGTGGTAAAACCGAAGTAAATTTGGGACCACATAAATTGGTCGTAAAGCAGAAGTGACTTAACTTCCAATTTACGACCAAAAGAAAATGTGGTCGT